AATGCCTTTACCTAATTTGCATATTGCTGACATATGCAAATTAGGCAAATGCATTAATTAAGCATGCAAATAGCTGATTTTTCGGAAAAATTGTAACTTTGCGTGAATAGTTAAGGGGTTAAACTAAACCAAATTGTCTGAAATTTTGTACAGTAATTAAAATCCCGACAAATTTTCCATCTGTTAACTCAAAATATGATTGCAGCTTTTAAATTTTGTGCGCGAGCCATTTTTAGTTTGTTGGAAAAGACACACCCCCCTGGTTCACAAAATTTGAGTTCGAGAAATTTTTCTCATTATTCTACATTATAAGTACCCGAAGAGGCTATATATATAAAAAACCGGATACAAATAGCTGTTTTGCGAAATTGAGAGCAATTTTAAATCTGTTCAGTTTTTTTTGATACACCCTGTAGTGTCAGGCAAACATCGATAATTTAAACTGGGACAATTTTAGCATGGGAAAAGACGGTTTTTCAAGGTCTTCAGTACCTTTATTCCTTCTCTGCGTAAAACGCCATTCTTCCAGAAAAAGATCACACAGTTCAATGTGGAATTCGCAGTAGCTACAGTGGCGGACCAAAACCGAGACACCATCGTATTTTCTGACGTCCATTTCTCAACGAAGTTAAACGCAATGAAGAAGAAAGCAGGCGTGTACATCAATATGAGACAGCCAACTGCCAACAAACAGGTATGAATCTTCTTTAAATTAACATGCAAGGTTGATACCTCGGGTGACGCTGTGTTGTCGCGTCGCATTTTTCTGGAAATCTTAAACAACTTGTAGTTGAGAAAGATAATTGGTGGAAATACAATGGCAAGGACAATTACTATAGCCACTGGCAAGGATATTACCAAGTCGTTCACAGAAATCATTATTATAATAATTGGTAGAATACATAATACAGCAAGGAGTGTTAGCAGTCTGCGTCTGGTCACTGATGCCCGATGAAAGAAAGGATAGTATACTCCCAGATATCGTTCAATATTCATTACCAGAAGTGCGATGATAGAAAAGCCAATGAAAATGTCTGAAAAACGCCGGTAAATCTCGGTCACAGTTAGTAAATGGTGTTCTTCATTTAACCAGAAGACTAGGTGAAGGATAATTAACGGATGACTCGTTATGACCACAAGGAAGTCGAAGCACGATAGCACCATGATCATGAAATAAGATACTTTACTTCGAATATATGCAGAGGATTTCCAAAAACTGACGATCACCAATGTGTTTAAAATCATTCCTATGCAAATAAGCATTACGTTCACAACGCACAAAAATATTAACTGAATGTAAACTTTCAAATCCATCTTCGAATGATAAAATCAACAAATTGAACATTAGCTTCCGTGTTGTTGTATGTTCTATCAAAGGGAACAGAGCGTAGGCGGACTATACGGCAATCACTATACGGATACTCAGGAATTTGAATATGGATACTCAGGGATATCACTTCCGCTACCCGCCGAAACGGAAGTAAAAGCCCCGAGCATCTGGTTGACCATACAGCGGGTTATGTTAACCGCCGATCATGTGCGGAACTTAATTAAGACCTGTTTACACTTGCAATTCTCGCTGCGATTTCTAGCCCGATTTTCCTCTTCTGATGCATGTGAACGAGTAGATGAGTTATGAATGTTCTGAGTAGGCCTATATGTATGTAGCCACATCTGAACATCCATAACTCATCCACTCGTTCACATCCATCAGAAGACGAAAATCGCACTAGAAATCGCAGCAAAACTTGCAAGCGTAAACGGGCCTTTAGTTAGCACTAAAAGCCAGAACGTAGGACGCTGTAACACCGGAACAGTTATTTAAGTAAAACTGATATCACTTCGCCCCTCATATATGCAGCATGTGAAAAATATATTTATTTATTTATATATTATTGTTGTGTAATACTAGACGTTATGATTGCTTCCCTAAAAACAATCCTCTCCAGAAAACATTTAACAGAAATACCTTGAAGCTGAGTTTCAGTTGCATGCCGAACATTCGTAGTATAATTTCTGGGCACAATAAATCTGTAGTAAATAAGCACACCTCAACAGATGCGTCAACATGCAGCACGAAAACAAGACAATGCAATTGCAGGAATAAGTCCTCGTGTCCACTGCCCGGTAAATGTCTAACATCCAGCGTAGTATATACTGTACCAAGCAACGGTTGTTAGGAACGATACGAATCAAAAGGAATCGTATGTCGGACATACTGAAGGAGAGTTCAAATCCAGATATTATTGCCACACTAGCTCATTCAGATTAAGCAAGCACTGTGTAGAAATGCGACAGAGCTGAGCAAATACATTTGGCAACTTAAAGGGTCAAAGGTCAAGTATTCCATAAACTGGCGTATTATTAAACGATGCAAGAGCTACAACAACACAACGAAACCACAGACGAAACGCTGCAGTCTTTGTACACAAGTCATGAAAAATTCATTATAATCTACCACCCTGAACTTTGTTCTTTAAATTCAAGAAGTGAACTTTTATCGAAATGCAGACATGGAAACAAATTTCTCTTAAGCAATATAGATTACTTACTATAATCTGTATATGTAATCTATACGTAATTTAATACTTGAACATTCCGTTTACGTCAAACATGTATATAGTACATATAACCTTGGCAACAATTAACATAGCGCGACATTTAAATCACCTGATGAGTGTGGCAAGCATTGCTTGTCATACGAAACAAGTTTGTACAGTGAATAAATCTTATGAAGTAAACCAGGTTTATTTTATCTTTATCTTTATTAGCTCTATACTTCGGTATATCGATAATCGAGCACTCTACTCATATATGATTCTAAATACGTATTTGGTATACCTGAGCCTGGCGGCCCTCATTTGACCCATTGGGGTTGGGGGCCCTCGGGTTCGCCTGGTCCGAGCCCATGGTAGTTACGCCACTGCCAGACATGCGCAGAGTGTAATGGGGTCAGAGGGCTCAAGCAACCACAAAGGAAGCGAGCTTTGCATTATACTATATACGCATTTTATTATTATTTAGTTTCGTGCTATAAGATGTGGCACTCATAGATAGCCTTTTGACTAGCAGCAAAAACGATCAGGCACAAATTATATACATGTACAAGTTGGTGCATGAAAGCTTTAAATTGGTCATATATTTAATTTACACAACACGCAAATCAATTAAAATGTTCATCAATCTTGTTGGTAAGCCCGCAAATGTTTCTCATTTATCCTTTTCCAGACTTACACAAATCAGATATATTATGTCAACTAGACTAATATAAATAGGGACAGGTTTATAAAAATACTGAGCGGTTCCCGTAATTATCATTTACAATTCTATTCACCTGTTTTCTAATAAAATACATGCAATATACTCGTCACATTTGGCCAATTTTCTATCCTCAGTAATCTATAAAACGGCAGACGTGTTACACGTGTCCGACAAGTGTCAGTCAAACATCGATAATTTAAGCTGGGCCAACTTTAGCATGGGAAAAGACGGTTTTTCAAAGTGTTCAATACCTTTTTCCCCTCTCTGCGTAAAATGTCATTCTTCCAGAAAAAGATCAAACAGTTGAATGTAGAATTCGTAGCAGCTACACTACCACTCCAGAATCTAGACACCCTCGTTTTTTCCGACTCGTGTTCTGCCGTCGATTTCTCAAGTAAATCAACCACAATGAAGACGAACGTTGGAATGTACAACGCCAGGCAGGCAACTGCCAACAAACAGGTATTAATCTTCTTTATATTAACATGCACGGTTGCCTCGGGTAATGCGGCGTTGTCGCGTCGCATTTTTCTGGAAATCTTAAACAATCTGTAGTTGATGAACACAAATGGTGGAAATGCAATGCCAAGGAAAATTAGTGCCGCCACTGAGAAGGAAATTACTATGTCGTTCACAGAAATTGTCATTAAGATAATTGGTATAATGAACAATATTGCGAGTAGTGTTAACAGTCTGCGTCTAGTTACGGATGTTCGATGAAAGAAGGGATAGTATGCTCCCAGATATCGTTCAAAGCTCAGTACCAGAATTGCAACGATAGAAAAGCAAGGGAACACACTCGAAAGTTTTTCATAAGTCGCGGTCACAGTTAATGCATCATACCTTTCATTTAACCATAAGATTAGGTGAATGATCACTAATGGATGATGCGTTATGACCACAAGGAAGTCGAAGCACGACAACACCATGATCATGAAATAGCATAATTTCTTTCGAAGGTCTGCAGAGGATTTCCAAAAACTGACGATCACCAGTAGGTTTAAAACTACTCCTGCGCAAGTAAACAGTATGTTCACGACGCACAAAACTATCGACTGAACGTAAACATTTAAATCCATCTTTCAAATACTGCCATCTGCGTTCAAGCAGGAAGCGTGTTGTACAAGTATACTACTAAAGAATAGCACGTCTTGTTTTTCGAAACTTTGTTACTTGCGCGATAATAATAAACATCGTATCAAATTGCAATGGAATTTAAATTGGAATGATCGTGTCTGTGCATGTAATAGCGCCTTTGTTTTGTGTTTGCGCTGATAGTCAACTAAAACCCAAGTTAGTAAACATAGACGTTAATTACATGATATATTTTATAATTATGTTGTGTTATGTCCTAAAATGCATTTGCCTTTCACGCTACATTATTTGCGGTGGAATCATAAATTTTGTACTATTATGTCCATACTGCCATTTGATATGTGCTTGGAGACCTGCGAGTACAAAGTATTCGTTGCCTGCTCTAAAACTCTAAGAAAAATACGCGCGGCAAACGTGATGCTCCAACGCAGACAACATTGTTTACATTCCGTAAGTCCGTAACATACAAAATTCGAAAAACTCAGCGATCCAGATATCGCATTTCCAGACACATGGCACGAAGTGCAGAGAATAGGATAAATACAAAATCCACAGAAAAACGTGGTAAAATTCGTAAGATGGCGGTTATTCAATGAGTGACTATTTTAGTCTCAAACAATTGACTGAAATAGTCACTCACTGAATGGCCGTCATCTTGAAACCTGATCTGTATAGTAAACGAGAACACTGGAAACTGAGCCTGCGATGTGCTAACGCAAACTCGATTTCTCGACGACGAAGAAAACAGGAAAAAACCCCAGGAAATTAGGGATTTAAGACACTTGACCTTTCAGGTCAGTGTAATTAGTATTTTATTCCTTTATTCTTTTTAATCCTGTATATATAAACAAGGTCATTGCGATACTTAATTCATAATTAGTTTTAAATTGTATTTTTAAGAGACGAACTTGCATATAAATAGGGACATCATACGACCTGAACTAGTTTCCCACTGAAGAAGCCTTGACCGAGTATATATATATATATATATATATATATATATATATATATATATATATATATATATATATATATATATATATATATATATATATATATATATATATATATATATATATATATATATATATATATATATATATATATATATATGGCATAAATCATCTAATACATGTACAAGTTGGTGCATGAAAGCTTTAAATTGATCATATTTAATTTACACAACACGCAAATCAATTAAACGTTCATCAATCTTTAAAATCTGATAAAAAATGAACGGTTAATATCACAAACGTTCAAGTCTTTGGAAATAGTTTTCGTGTAGGAAAACGAAACGTTAGACAAAACGTATTTAATTTTGTAATAATCTAGAAGAACAAATAAAAGAAACAAAATTCATCAATCTTGTTGGTAAGCCCACAAATGTTTCCCATGCATTTATCCTTTTTCCAGACTTATATGAATCAGATGTATCAAGCCAGCTAGACTAAATATAGGGACAGGCTTATAAAAATACTCAGCGGTTGCTGTAATAAAATATATGCAATATACTCGCCACATACTCGCCACATTTGGCTGATTTTCAATCCTTAATCTATAAAACGACAGACGTGTTATACGTGTCCGACAAACATGGATAATTTAAGCTGGGCCAACTTTAGCATGGGAAAAGACGGTTTTTCAAAGTCTTCAATACCTTTTTCCCCTCTCTGCGTAAAACGTCATTCTTCCAGAAAAAGATCAAACAGTTGAATGTAGCATTCATAGAAGCTACCGTGCCATTCCAAAATCTAGCCATCCTCGATTTTTCCGACTCGTGTTCTGCCGTCGATTTCTCAAGTAGATCAACCACAATGAAGACGAACGTTGGAATGTACAACGCCAGGCAGGCAACTGCCAACAAACAGGTATTAATCTTCTTTATATTAACATGCACGGTTGCCTCGGATGATGCGGCGTTGTCGCGTCGCATTTTTCTGGAAATCTTAAACAATCTGTAGTTGATGAACACAAATGGTGGAAATGCAATGCCAAGGAAAATTATTAACGCCACTGAAAAGGAAATTACCAAGTCGTTCACAGAAATTGATATTATGACAGTTGGTACAATCAACAATACAGCGAGGAGTGTTACCAGTCTGCGTCTGTTGACTGATGTTCGATGAAAGAAAGGATAGTATGCTCCCAGATATCGTTCAAAGCTCAGAACCAGAAGTGCAACCATAGAAAAGCAATGGAACAAACTCGAAAGTTTCTCATAAGTTCGTGACACAGTTAGTGCATCATAATTTTCATCTAACCATAAGATTAGATGAACGATCACCACTGGCATATTTGTTATGACCACAAGGAAGTCGAAGCACGACAACACCATGATCATGAAATAGCATAATTTCTTTCGAAGATCTGGAGAGGATTTCCAAAAACTGACGACCACCAATAGGTTTAAAACAACTCCTGCGCAAGTATTTAGTATGTTAAGGACGCACAAAACGATCGTCTGGATGTAAACATTTAAATCCATCTTTCGATAATGAAATCAACTGCTCGAACAGATTACTGCCATTTAATTTGCGTTCAAGCAGGAAGCGTACAAGAATGTCACATTTGTTCTCAAGTAGCAGTCACAATCAAATTTTGGAATTCCTTAGTTTGTCCACGAAATTTCCTTATTTTTCAAGAAAATTATTTAAATGAACTTAATTAACATGACGTATGCGTGTTGAAGCGAGTCAGAATCTCGGTGACAAATAACAAATGATAGCGTTATAATTTCGTTTCTAGGCCGGACAGTTACGAAATATGTATTTAAAAGAATAAACATATTAGTATCACAAGCTCACGATATTTTTTTCTGAAATTGTGATATTCCTCAGAATATTTCTTAATAAAATATTAAATTGCTCCTTTAAAACTTCCCAGCAAAATTCCTTGTTTTAAGGAAATTTCCTTAGACGCGAGAGCGCTGTTCAGTTCACTATTTAAACGCACCGTTTCAGAAGGTTATCATGCCCGTTTAAAGCAATGAAATTGAATCGTTTGAAAATACGAAAATATGCGAAATATTAATGTTTACCGGAAAGAAGAGTATACTTTTATTCTTGTATTCTCGTAATTCTAAATAGTGTTTCAATGTACTATTTAAAATGCGTAGGAGTGTACGCGTATGCGTAGGAGTGCTCAGCACGAGCATAAAAGACGACTAGCACGTGTTCAGTTGAATAGCTTCAAACACGACTACATGAATAGATGCAGTCTCATTATAGTGTTCTTTATATAAAGAATACTAACTAGGATGGATTTCTGTATAAAGAATACTAATGAAGATGAGTTTTGTCAGGTCGTATAATGTCTCGTTCGTCACTCGAAATAAGCTATAGTGTTGTCTTGCGTTGTGTTAACTTGTCTACGACGATAACGAGATCTAATGTAGCGTAGGTTCTTTCGATAGAATCAAGGACGTTCTACACCATAGTTTGAATATGTATTATTTACACTAACACAAGCTCAAAAGCCAGTGCGAAAACTATATACAACAAAAAGGTGATTATCAAATTATCCTGAATGTCCCAGTTATCCTAGTGCAAGTGTAATTCTATCCTAGTTCAATTAACTAACCGTGTTCGATATAAGATAATTAATAATGAACTGTTTATATTAGAATGCGTGCAAGATATCTATAATGTTCAAAGTACTGTCAATTCTCGACAATGACATATATAGTCTGCGAATCCGAGGCATGAATAGCCCGCGTGCAGGCCCAAGGGAGCAGGCTCAAGGGAACTTGATAGTGGGCCTGCAAGCAAGGCCCGGTATTTTGTAAAACGCCCCTTTTCATAACACGCCCCATTCGCGCGTCAATTGTCAAAAAAGAACCAATGACAGCACCCAAATATTAACAAACAAACTCGCATTAAAATGTTGCGGGGTTTTCTCTGCATATTCAGAACATAAACAATGTGTAAATGGCTGCGTTTTAACTCCAAAAAAGCAAGCAACGCAGTCAGTAATTGCCAAATTTGCAAGTGCTCATTTTCAACTAAAATCGGAACAGGCAAATTAGGACGAATTTCAACAGAAAACCAGTCTCAAACTTCAAATCGTGAGGGAAGTCGTGCGACCACATTAGCGGCATTTATAATGTGTGTTTCGCTGTCGCCGTTGGCATTGTTATAAATAAATTGTCTCACACAATCAGATCGTGTGTGCAATTCTTGTTGGCGGCGGAAAGTACGAAATTTATTTCAGTTATTCATTTGGTAAAGAACTCTACAAAAGAAGAGAGCGTTCAGAGTCCAGATCGTTTCGTTTCAAACGGCAATTTAAATATACCGTCTTCTGTTTCGTTCTCTCAGCGAAGCCTTGTAAATCGCAAAGTGTTTCGAATAGGCTTACATGCAACTGCATCTCAACATCAACCAAAAGATAATTTTCTTGAGGAACATATAACGTATCAAGTCTGTTTGAAATTAATGAAACTCAAGTAAAGGTTACTATAGTTTACTCCAGTCGTAATGTTGCTATTCCAACAACTCACGACAAGCAATCCCCATTGGCATAACGGCAAAAACATCTCTTCCTTCTAGTAAACAATAAACAGTCTGTTCTTGTTCCATTTATAATCGAAAAAAGTGATCAATTTTCGAATTTTGAGCTTATCGAGAGCCTTTGTGATGAATCACTGACCTAATTATAGAATCCAACAGCAAACAGCCAATCAGAATGCCGCGTTCGTGGGCGAACGCAGAAAGTACAAAATACCGGGCCTTGCTTGCAGGCCCACTATCAAGTTCCCTTGAACCTGCTCCCTTGGGCCTGCACGCGGGCTAAGGCATGAAGCTTGTGTGGTCACGTGAATTTCCCAAGAAAAGTTGGGACGAATTGTGATTGGTTGAACTATAATTATGCAGAATTAATGTTAATTCATCAGACATTGCGTTCGCAACGCGCGTTGAGCTGTTCAAAATTGACCGTTTCCAGGGTCAAATGACAATGTTTATATTACAGTTGTATTTATAGAAGTGTGGCGGATAAACAAGAAAGGCCGTTGTAGAAGAAATCTATAATATTACATCTTCTGTTTGGCGAAATGGGCTTTCCGTTTTGAAAACAACGGCCTTTTTTGTTTATCCGCCACACTTCTATAAATACAACTGTAATAAACATTGTCATTTGAGTCATTTGACCTTGGAAACCGTCAATTTTGAACAGCCAACGCGCGCTGCGAACGCAATGTCCGATGAATTAATACTAATTCTGCATAATTATAGTTCAACCAATCACAATTCGTCCCAACTTTTCTTGGGAAATTCACGTGACCATACAAGCTTCATGCCACGGATTCGCAGACTATATATGTCATTATATAGTCTGCGCGCAGGCTAGTTTCACCTCTGTTACTCGTTGCTTTTCTTGGGTAAAACAAAGGACTGCTAGCTAGGCAGTTAAAAACAAGTAAACAATCGCATCTATTATTATGGTCCTTCGAAGACGGATGTAAATTAGCGAAAGAATGGCGTCGTTTGACTCATTTTGAAACAAGATAAATCGTAGAATGTAAACATGTCGCAAGAATCTCGTGAAACGCTAGCACAGAAACGAAGCATTACAAAGCGAAAAATCACCAATCTTATAAAGAAAGTCGTACCACTGGTGCAAAAGATTGAAAGCTCACAATTCGACATTGTATGTTCTGAATATGTTCGTGATTTAGATAATCAATTTCAGGAAATATATTTATTGGCCAACGCTCAAATCGATCCTAAGGATGAAGAACTGATCACAAAAGACTACGAAGAGCTGGATGCTCATGACGATCGAATCAGAGAAACTGTAAGTAAACTCGTATTTTTTATGAACACTCAATCTACCAAGGTTTCACATGAAACAAAATCATCTGATAGCAAAGATAAGAAAGCAATAGAACGAAAGTGGAATCGTATTGTGACTAACATAGACAAAACAATTGCAAATATTGAAGAAGCAACTGATAGCCTAATGAAAGCGATATTGAAGATCTTATCGATATCAGAAATCAAATTTCTGAATGTGAGAAATCTCTTGATAGTTTTACAAGTGAAACTGACTTTTCTATACCAGATTTAGATGGTGTAGATGGCGGAAATTGGAATGATCTTTTATCTAGTTATTTTGACAAAATTAAGTCAAATCAAGAGAAATTATCACTACTCATAAAGCAACATCGCCGTGAACAAATGAAGCAAACTAAAGAGCTTGAAATTGAAAAGGAAAACAGAAATAAGGAGCTTGAATTTAAAAACACTCAACAACAGCATGAACTTAACTTATTGTTAAATAAATTCAAGGCGCTAGAAAGTTCTGAAGTAAATGAACAAAAAACTGTGAAGCTCCCTCCACTCAATATCCCTACATTTGATGGGGAACCCACTAAATGGAAGTCTTATTGGCAACAATTTCAAGCAACAATACATAACTCGAAGAAATTAGATAATCAACTTCGCATGCAGTATCTTCTGAAATCTCTTGTCACTAAAAGGGCTAGAGATGCAATAGAAGGAATCGATGCAGTAGCAGAAGCTCACCCTGAAGCTATTGCAGCACTCGAGGCTCGTTTGATCGCCCCCAAATTATCCAGCGTGCCCATGCAAGAGCTTTGCTAAATGCCAAACCAGTTAAAGATGGCACAAGCTCGGAACTGAGAAAGTTACATGACACTTTCCAGCATCATTTAAGATCATTGAAAGCACAAGACAAGCTTGACTTTGATAGGTTTATGACAACATTGGGCGAGTCCAAACTTGATTCCCAACAATGATTGAATGGCAAACATTTACACAAGCAGAAAAGGATGTGCCTTCCTATACCAAATTCCTTGAATTTCTTGACCTCAGAGCAACAACTACTGAACTAACTTCCTTTGATGGAAATCAAAGAAAATTTCAGCCCTTTAACAAGAAACCAAAGTTGTACAGTCCTGGGAATTTTGGCAAATCAGAATCAGTCCATACCACTACCACACAAGTTAAGTGTTCAGCTTGCAATGGGCAGAAACACAGCATAGCCTATTGTCAAGCCTTCAAAGAGAAATCCCTTTCCAAGAAGCGTGCCTTTGTGTATGAAAAGGGACTTTGTCTCAATTGTCTGAAGGGAAGACATATGGCAAAGCAATGTCCTTCACCATGTCTTGAATGTGGCAAAAGGCATCACACTTTATTGCATGTTGATGATTCCAAACCACCTGAAAACAAACCTGAATTGTCGAAGTAAGGTGCCCTAAACAACAATTTGCCCCCTTTCCCAAACCCCTCTCCACCAAGTAATCCACCCACCAGTAGTGAATTTACTGCATCACTTTATAGCTACGTGGCGACACCCAAAGCAAACACTTTGAATAATGTTCTTATCAATTCTTATGATGACAGCTGAAGTCATTGTAACTTCCCCATCTGGTCAACAAATGACAGCTCGAGCCCTACTCGACCCAGCTTCAACAGCGTCCTTCAACACTGAAAGACTAGCTCAACATCTTAAGTTAAGAAGATCTAAACAGGAAATCACCATAAACGGAATTGGAGGATCCCAGTGCTCTACCCTAAGTAACAGTATTGTGAACATTAACTTGAAATCTACTCAGAGCTCTTCTACTCTATCAAATGTGCAAGCTATTGTTCTTCAGTCCTTAAGAAGGTGTCTACCTACCACTAGTACTTCCTTTCCAAAAGGTCACTGGCCTCACCTGTTCTCTCTCAAGTTAGCAGATCCCACATTCAATATATCGAAACCAATTGATATTCTTCTTGGCGTAAGT